CCAAGCAAGCTTTGTAACATAGTTAGTGGACTAATGGATAAGGCATCAGCCCTTGTCCAAAATAAGAAAAATGGACACAGGTCTTGCACGTAGATCATGAGATAAGGTTCCAGAGCTTTCCAAAGTCTGACAGGAAAGGGCTAGAGGGTAGCTGTGAATGTGCAAAATGAATCTAAAAGCATTTCTTCTCGTTGCTAGCATATGTGTAAGCAAGAAAATCAGCTAGAGCTGGCTATTCACTTTGACCAAGTGGCCAAATGGATAAGGTATCAGCCCAAGAATTGTTGCAGAATTATATCCTTCACTGTAACATTTTGCTCACATGTGCCAACAGTTTAGCAAGGACCTGCAGAAAGATTTTCTTAGTAGCAGCTATTTGGCTCGTTGGTCTAGGGGTATGATTCTCGCCTTGGGTGTGAGAGGTCCCGGGTTCAAATCCCGGATGAGCCCATCTTTTACGTTTCAGATTGGAAAATACTAATTGAACCCTGAGCCTGTGGCTACTGGGGTTTTTGGAAGGCTGCATAGACACCAGTCAACACGACTAAGCTTCCCGTCATCGTGTGACGTCAACGGTCAAGGACAATGTTGATGCTAGTCTGTTGAGCAGAAGAAGCTCTTTATGGATTTTACCCATTCAGGTTTAGCCTACCCTTGGTTACTGCCTTGGAATACCAACTCTGGCGATGAAAACTAGCAAACTCTCAACCACACCAAGCAAGCTTTGTAACATAGTTAGTGGACTAATGGATAAGGCATCAGCCCTTGTCCAAAATAAGAAAAATGGACACAGGTCTTGCACGTAGATCATGAGATAAGGTTCCAGAGCTTTCCAAAGTCTGACAGGAAAGGGCTAGAGGGTAGCTGTGAATGCGCAAAATCAATCTAAAAGCATTTCCTCTCGTTGCTAGCATATGTGTAAGCAAGATGTAGGCACCTCCCAAAGATGTAGTTGAATAAATGGTGTGCTTGCTGCATTTTTGGGTGGATTCAGTTGAGACTACATTTCCCATGGTCCTTTGTTTTTGAATACGTTGCAATTTGTTTCCATTGGAGTAGTTCAAGCCAATGGGTTGCGCTTTTAATTAAACTCCTAGCCAATCAGAGGTCACCTTTGTTGGGGAGGGAAAAAGAGGAAAAAAAGGAAAGGAGGGGGAGGAGGTAGCGAAGAGGAGAAGGGAGAGAAATAACGGGAGGAGAGGCGGGGGGAAAAGAAAAAAAGAGAACCGAGAGTTTTTAACAGCAGAGGTGATGTTTGTAGACTAAACTTCTATTAAAGTAGTGGCACAAATATACATTTTATTCAGCGAAAAAGAGAGCAACTATCCTTTCGGTAAATTTGTGAACTGTAAGGTGAAGTGCTAGCTTAGCTGCGTTTGTTTGTTTTGCACTAGCTTGGGAAAAACAAAGCTAAGTACAATCTGTAACTCGTGGACGTTAAACTAATGTCTTCGTGAGGGACGGACATCTGTAACCGCCAGTCGCAGTGTCGCTGTGAAACTGAAGGACGAGTACTGTGGAGAACTGTGCTGAACTGTGCTAGGTAGCATGGTAGCTACTACGCTGTTTAAGGAGGAACTCCATCGCTGAACCTGCGTCGCTGAATTAACCTCCTGGAACCTTGCGTGCCGTGGATTCATTCTCTCAGCTCGTGACCACAGTGGCTAATTCTTCTGTTCCAGAGGCGTGAGTAACAGAGAGGTTTTGGTAGCGTTCATTAAAGGAACCAAGGAGGATTTTTGTTTGTATGTGCACCAAATCACGGGCCCCAACAGAAAAAAAACAAGCGCTTGGTGAAGGTTCTGAACAGTTAAAAAAGGGTTTAAGTGGTAAAATCCAAACTGTACTGTTCCTGGTGTTTAATAATTAGAAAGGAGTGTGTGAGTTACTGGTCTAAATTTTGTTTCTAATATATGTATACAGTTTGAAGTTTTTTTGTTTAGCATAATAAATGTGGTTATTTTTGTTATACATACTACCTGGCTTTACTGGACTTGTCTTTTTTTATTTAATTAGGTTTATATATATTTGGTCTAGTTATACTCAATATTTGTTTCTGGGGGAATAACAATATCGCTCATAGTGTGTGTGAGTGGGGGAAATTCTTCAGTGGAGGGCCCGCGCTATTAGGGATTAAATCATTTCCATACAGTTCTGCCTGTATAACATCATCGACTGGTAAATAGAGGTTAGCCAAATTCACCATCAACTGCTAAATACTCAGGATCCTGTTCATTAAAACCATTTACTGTAGTAACCTTCTCTAATATTACACTTCCGGCCAGGAAGGGGTTACAAAGAAAATCAGCTAGAGCTGGCTATTCACTTTTGCCCAGTGGCCTAATGGATAAGGCATCAGCCCTTGTCCCAAAATAATAAAAATGGACACAGGTCTTGCACGTAGATCATGAGATAAGGTTCCAGAGCTTTCCAAAGTCTGCCAGGAAAGGGCTAGACGGTAGCTGTGAATGTGCAAAATGAATCTAAAAGCATTTCCTCTAGTAGCAAGTATATGTGTAAGCAAGAAAATCAGCTAGAGCTGGCTATTCACTTTGACCCAGTGGCCAAATGGATAAGGCATCAGCCCAAGAATTGTTGCAGAATTATATCCTTCACTGTAACATTCTGATCACGTATGGGAACAGTTTAGCAAGGACCTGCAGAAGGATTTGCTCAATAGCAGCAATTTGGCTCGTTGGTCTAGGGGTATGATTCTCGCTTAGGGTGCGAGAGAGGTCCGGGTTCAAATCCCGGATGAGCCCATCTTTTACGTTTCAGATTGGAAAATACTAGTGAACCCTGAGCCTGTGGCTACTGGGGTGTTTGGAAGGCTGCATAGACACCAGTCAACACGACTAAGCTTCCCGTCATCGTGTGACGTCAACGGTCAGGACAATGTTGATGCTAGTCTGTTGAGCAGAAAAAAACTCTTTATTGAATTTCACCCATTCAGGTTTAGCCTACCTTTGGTTACTGCCTTGGAATACCAACTCTGGCGATGAAAACTAGCAAACTCTCAACACACCAAGCAAGCTTTGTAACATAGTTAGTCAATTGCTGGCGAGACAATCATGTGATGTGAGCAGTCAAGCTCTGAATAAGGAGCTTGTTGATGCTAATCTGTTTATCATAGGAAGCCCCTTTGCCGAGAATGCATCGTCCAGGATGAATCAATTTCAGCCCTTGTCCAAAATAGGAAAAATGGACACAGGTCTTGCACGTAGATCATGAGATAAGGTTCCAGAGCTTTCCAAAGTCTGCCAGGAAAGGGCTAGAGGGTAGCTGTGAATGTGCAAAATGAATCTAAAAGCAATTCCTCTCGTTGCTAGCATATGTGTAAGCAAGAAAATCAGCTAGAGCTGGCTATTCACTTTTGCCCAGTGGCCTAATGGATAAGGCATCAGCCCTTGTCCAAAATAAGAAAAATGGACACAGGTCTTGCACATAGATCATGAGATAAGGTTCCAGAGCTTTCCAAAGTCTGCCAGGAAAGGGCTAGACGGTAGCTGTGAATGTGCAAAATGAATCTAAAAGCATTTCCTCTCGTCGCTAGCATATGTGTAAGCAAGAAAATCAGCTAGAGCTGGCTATTCACTTTGACCCAGTGGCCAAATGGATAAGGCATCAGCCCTTGTCCAAAATAAGAAAAATGGACACAGGTCTTGCACATAGATCATGAGATAAGGTTCCAGAGCTTTCCAAAGTCTGCCAGGAAAGGGCTAGACGGTAGCTGTGAATGTGCAAAATGAATCTAAAAGCATTTCCTCTCGTTGCTAGCATATGTGTAAGCAAGAAAATCAGCTAGAGCTGGCTATTCACTTTGACCCAGTGGCCAAATGGATAAGGCATCAGCCCAAGAATTGTTGCAGAATTATATCCTTCACTGTAACATTCTGATCACATGTGGGAACAGTTTAGCAAGGACCTGCAGAAGGATTTGCTCAATAGCAGCAATTTGGCTCGTTGGTCTAGGGGTATGATTCTCGCTTAGGGTGCGAGAGGTCCCGGGTTCAAATCCCGGATGAGCCCATCTTTTACGTTTCAGATTGGAAAATACTAATTGAACCCTGAGCCTGTGGCTACTGGGGTGTTTGGAAGGCTGCATAGACACCAGTCAACACGACTAAGCTTCCCGTCATCGTGTGACGTCAACGGTCAAGGACAATGTTGATGCTAGTCTGTTGAGCAGAAAAGACTCTTTATTGGATTTCACCCATTCAGGTTTAGCCTACCTTTGGTTACTGCCTTGGAATACCAACTCTGGCGATGAAAACTAGCAAACTCTCAACCACACCAAGCAAGCTTTGTAACATAGTTAGTCAATTGCTGGCGAGACAATCATGTGATGTGAGCAGTCAAGCTCTGAATAAGGAGCTTGTTGATGCTAATCTGTTTATCATAGGAAGCCCCTTTGCCGAGAAGCATCGTCCAGGATGAATTAATTTTCAGCCTTTGCCAAAAATAGGAAAAATGGACACAGGTCTTGCACGTAGATCATGAGATAAGGTTCCAGAGCTTTCCAAAGTCTGCCAGGAAAAGGGCTAGAGGGTAGCTGTGAATGTGCAAAATGAATCTAAAAGCAATTCCTCGTTGCTAGCATATGTGTAAGCAATAAAATCAGCTAGAGCTGGCTATTCACTTTTGCCCAGTGGCCTAATGGATAAGGCATCAGCCCTTGTCCAAAATAAGAAAAATGGACACAGGTCTTGCACATAGATCATGAGATAAGGTTCCAGAGCTTTCCAAAAGTCTGCCAGGAAGGGGCTGAGCGGTAGCTGTGAATGTGCAAAATGAATCTAAAAGCATTTCCTCGTACGCTAGCATATGTGTAAGCAAGAAAATCAGCTAGAGCTGGCTATTCACTTTGACCAAGTGGCCAAATGGATAAGGTATCAGCCCAAAATTGTTGCAGAATTATATCCTTCACTGTAACATTTTGCTCACATGTGCCAACAGTTTAGCAAGGACCTGCAGAAAGATTTTCTTAGTAGCAGCTATTTTGCTCGTTGGTCTAGGGTATGTTTTCGCCGCTTGTGAGAGGTCCCGGGTTCAAATCCCGGATGAGCCCATCTTTAACGTTTCAGATTGGAAAATACTAATTGAACCCTGAGCCTGTGGCTACTGGGGTGTTTGGAAGGCTGCATAGACACCAGTCAACACGACTAAGCTTCCCGTCATCGTGTGCGACGTCAACGGTCAAGGACAATGTTGATGCTAGTCTGTTGAGCAGAAAAGACTCTTTATTGGATTTTACCCATTCAGGTTTAGCCTACCCTTGGTTACTGCCTTGGAATACCAACTCTGGCGATGAAAACTAGCAAACTCTCAACCACACCAAGCAAGCTTTGTAACATAGTTAGTGGACTAATGGATAAGGCATCAGCCCTTGTCCAAAATAAGAAAAAATGGACACAGGTCTTGCACGTAGATCATGAGATAAGGTTCCAGAGCTTTCCAAAGTCTGACAGGAAAGGGCTAGAGGGTAGCTGTGAATGTGCAAAATGAATCTAAAAGCATTTCTTCTCCGTTGCTATATGTGTAAGCAAGAAAATCAGCTAGAGCTGGCTATTCACTTTGACCAAGTGGCCAAATGGATAAGGTATCAGCCCAAGAATTGTTGCAGAATTATATCCTTCACTGTAACATTTTGCTCACATGTGCCAACAGTTTAGCAAGGACCTGCAGAAAGATTTTCTTAGTAGCAGCTATTTGGCTCGTTGGTCTAGGGGTATGATTCTCGCCTTGGGTGTGAGAGGTCCCGGGTTCAAATCCCGGATGAGCCCATCTTTAACGTTTCCAGATTGGAAAATACTAATTGAACCCTGAGCCTGTGGCTACTCGGGGTTTTGGAAGGCTGCATAGACACCCAGTCAACACGACTAAGCTTCCCGTCATGCGTGTGGACGTCAACGGTCAAGGACAATGTTGATGCTAGTCTGTTGAGCAGAAAAAGACTCTTTATTGAGTTTTACCCATTCAGGTTTAGCCTACCCTTGGTTACTGCCTTGGAATACCAACTCTGGCGATGAAAACCTGCAAACTCTCAACCACACCAAGCAAGCTTTGTAACATAGTTAGTGGACTAATGGATAAGGCATCAGCCCTTGTCCAAAATAAGAAAAATGGACACAGGTCTTGCACGTAGATCATGAGATAAGGTTCCAGAGCTTTCCAAAGTCTGACAGGAAAGGGCTAGAGGGTAGCTGTGAATGCGCAAAAATCAATCTAAAAGCATTTCCTCTCGTTGCTAGCATATGTGTAAGCAAGATGTAGGCACCTCCAAAGATGTAGTTGAATAAATGGTGTGCTTGCAGTTTTTTGGGTGGATTCAGTTGAGACTACATTTCCCATGGTCCTTTGTTTTTGAATACGTTGCAATTTGTTTCCATTGGAGTAGTTCAAGCCAATGGGTTGCCTTTTAATTAAACTCCTAGCCAATCAGAGGTCACCTTTGTTGGGGGGGGGAAAAGAGGAAAAAGGAGGGGAGAGGTAGCAAGAGGAGAGGGAGAAATACGCGGGAGGAGAGCGGGGGAAAAGAAAAAAAAAGAACCGAGTTTTACGCCAGAGGTGATGTTTGTAGACTAAACTTCTATTAAAGTAGTGGCACAAATATCATTTTATTCAGCGCGAAAGGAGAGCAACTATCCGCTCGGTAAATTTGTGAACTGTAGGGTGAAGTGCTAGCTTAGCTGCGTTTGTTTGTTTTGCACTAGCTTGGGAAAAACAAAGCTAAGTACAATCTGTAACTTCGTGGACGTTAAACTAATGTCTTCGTGAGGGACGGACATCTGTAACCGCCAGTCGCAGTGTCGCTGTGAAACTGAAGGACGAGTACTGTGGAGAACTGTGCTGAACTGTGCTAGGTAGCATGGTAGCTACTACGCTGTTTAAGGAGGAACTCCATCGCTGAACCTGCGTCCGCTGAATTAACCTCCTGGAACCTTAGTGCCCGTGGATTCATTCTCTCAGCTCGTGACCACAGTGGCTAATTCTTCTGTTCCAGAGGCGTGAGTAACAGAGAGGTTTTGGTAGCGTTCATTAAAAGGAACCAAGGAGGATTTTTGTTTGTATTTGCACCAAATCACGGGCCCCAACAGAAAAAAACAAGCGCTTGGTGAAGGTTCTGAACAGTTAAAAAGAGGGTTTAAGTGGTAAAAATCCAAACTGTACTGTTCCTGGTGTTTAATAATTAGAAAGAAGTGTGTGAGTTACTGGTCTAAATTTTGTTTCTAATATATGTATACAGTTTGAAGTTTTTTGTTTAGCATAATAAATGTGGTTATTTTTGTTATACATACTACCTGGCTTTACTGGACTTGTCTTTTTTATTTAATTAGGTTTATATATATTTGGTCTAGTTATACTCAATATTTGTTTCTGGGGAATAACAATATCGCTCATAGTGTGTGAGTGGGGAAATTCTTCAGTGGAGGCACGCGCTATTAGGGATTAAATCATTTCCATACAGTTCTGCCTGTATAACATCATCGACTGGTAAATAGAGGTTAGCCAAATTCACCATCAACTGCTAAATACTCAGGATCCTGTTCATTAAAACCATTTACTGTAGTAACCTTCTCTAATATTACACTTCCGGCGCCAGGAAGGGGGTTACAAAGAAAATCAGCTAGAGCTGGCTATTCACTTTTGCCCAGTGGCCTAATGGATAAGGCATCAGCCCTTGTCCAAAATAATAAAAAATGGACACAGGTCTTACCACGTAAATCATGAGATAAGGTTCCAGAGCTTTCCAAAGTCTGCCAGGAAAGGGCTAGACGGTAGCTGTGAATGTGCAAAATGAATCTAAAAGCATTTCCTCTAGTAGCAAGTATATGTGTAAGCAAGAAAAATCCGCTAGAGCTGGCTATTCACTTTGACCCAGTGGCCAAATGGATAAGGCATCAGCCCAAAATTGTTGCAGAATTATATCCTTCACTGTAACATTCTGATCACATGTGGAACAGTTTAGCAAGGACCTGCAGAAGGATTTGCTCAATAGCAGCAATTTGGCTCGTTGTGTCAAGGGGTATGATTCTCGCTTAGGGTGCGAGAGGTCCCGGTTCCAAATCCCGGATGAGCCCATCTTTTACGTTTCAGATTGGAAAATACTAATTGAACCCTGAGCCTGTGGCTACTGGGGTGTTTGGAAGGCTGCATAGACACCAGTCAACACGACTAAGCTTCCCGTCATCGTGTGACGTCAACGGTCAAGGACAATGTTGATGCTAGTCTGTTGAGCAGAAAAGACTCTTTATTGGATTTCACCCATTCAGGTTTAGCCTACCTTTGGTTACTGCCTTGGAATACCAACTCTGGCGATGAAAACTAGCAAACTCTCAACCACACCAAGCAAGCTTTGTAACATAGTTAGTCAATTGCTGGGCGAGACAATCATGTGATGTGAGCAGTCGAAGCTCTGAATAAGGAGCTTGTTGATGCTAATCTGTTTATCATAGGAAGCCCCTTTGCGAGAATGCATCGTCCAGGATGAATCAATTTCAGCCCTTGTCCAAAATAGGAAAAATGGACACAGGTCTTGCACGTAGATCATGAGATAAGGTTCCAGAGCTTTCCAAAGTCTGCCAGAAGGGGCTAGAGGGTAGCTGTGAATGTGCAAAATGAATCTAAAAGCAATTCCTCGTTGCTAGCATATGTGTAAGCAAGAAAATCAGCTAGAGCTGGCTATTCACTTTTGCCCAGTGGCCTAATGGATAAGGCATCAGCCCTTGTCCAAAATAAGAAAAATGGACACAGGTCTTGCACATAGATCATGAGATAAGGTTCCAGAGCTTTCCAAAGTCTGCCAGGAAAGGGCTAAAGCGGTAGCTGTGAATGTGCAAAATGAATCTAAAAGCATTTCCTCTCTTCAGCTGATATGTGTAAGCAAGAAAATCAGCTAGAGCTGGCTATTCACTTTGACCCAGTGGCCAAATGGATAAGGCATCAGCCCTTGTCCAAAATAAGAAAAATGGACACAGGTCTTGCACATAGATCATGAGATAAGGTTCCAGAGCTTTCCAAAGTCTGCCAGGGAAAGGGCTAGACGGTAGCTGTGAATGTGCAAAATGAATCTAAAAAAGCATTTCTTCTCGTTGCTAGCATATGTGTAAGCAAGAAAATCAGCTAGAGCTGGCTATTCACTTTGACCCAGTGGCCAAATGGATAAGGTATCAGCCCAAGAATTGTTGCAGAATTATATCCTTCACTGTAACATTTTGCTCACATGTGCCAACAGTTTAGCAAGGACCTGCAGAAAGATTTTCTTAGTAGCAGCTATTTGGCTCGTTGGTCTAGGGGTATGATTCTCGCCTTAGCGGTGTGAGAGGTCCCGGGTTCAAATCCCGGATGAGCCCATCTTTTACGTTTCCAGATTGGAAAATACTAATTGAACCCTGAGCCTGTGGCTACTGGGGTTTTTGGGAAGGCTGCATAGACACCAGTCAACACGACTAAGCTTCCCGTCATCGTGTGACGTCAACGGTCAAGGACAATGTTGATGCTAGTCTGTTGAGCAGAAAAGACTCTTTATTGGATTTTACCCATTCAGGTTTAAGCCTACCGCCTTGGTTACTGCCTTGGAATACCAACTCTGGCGATGAAAACTAGCAAACTCTCAACCACACCAAGCAAGCTTTGTAACATAGTTAGTGGACTAATGGATAAGGCATCAGCCCTTGTCCAAAATAAGAAAAATGGACACAGGTCTTGCACGTAGATCATGAGATAAGGTTCCAGAGCTTTCCAAAGTCTGACAGGAAGGGGCTAGAGGGTAGCTGTGAATGCGCAAAATCAATCTAAAAGCATTTCCTCTCGTTGCTAGCATATGTGTAAGCAAGATGTAGGCACCTCCCAAAGATGTAGTTGAATAAATGGTGTGCTTGCTGCATTTTTGGGTGGATTCAGTTGAGACTACATTTCCCATGGTCCTTTGTTTTTGAATACGTTGCAATTTGTTTCCATTGGAGTAGTTCAAGCCAATGGGTTGCCTTTTAATTAAACTCCTAGCCAATCAGAGGTCACCTTTGTTGGGGGAGGGGGAAAAGAGGAAAAAAAAGGGAAAGGAGGGGGAGAGGTAGCAAAGAGGAGAGGGAGAAATACGCGGGAGGAGAAGCGGGAAAAGAAAAAAGAGAACCGAGTTTTTACGCAGAGGTGATGTTTGTAGACTAAACTTCTATTAAAGTAGTGGCACAAATATCATTTTATTCAAGCGAAAGGAGAGCAACTATCCGTTCGGTAAATTTGTGAACTGTAAGGTGAAGTGCTAGCTTAGCTGCGTTTGTTTGTTTTGCACTAGCTTGGGAAAAACAAAGCTAAGTACAATCTGTAACTTCGTGGAACGTTAAACTAATGTCTTCGTGAGGGACGGACATCTGTAACCGCCAGTCGCGAGTGTCGCTGTGAAACTGAAGGACGAGTACTGTGGAGAACTGTGCTGTTGAACTGTGCCTAGGTAGCATGGTAGCTACTACGCTGTTTAAGGAGGAACTCCATCGCTGAACCTGCGTCGCTGAATTAACCTCCTGGAACCTTTGCGTGCCGTGGATTCATTCTCTCAGCTCGTGACCACAGTGGCTAATTCTTCTGTTCCAGAGGCGTGAGTAACAGAGAGGTTTTGGTAGCGTTCATTAAAGGAACCAAGGAGGATTTTTGTTTGTATGTGCACCAAATCACGGGCCCCAACAGAAAAAAAAACAAAGGCGCTTGGTGAAGGTTCTGAACAGTTAAAAAGGGTTTAAGTGGTAAAATCCAAACTGTACTGTTCCTGGTGTTTAATAATTAGAAAGGAGTGTGTGAGTTACTGGTCTAAATTTTGTTTCTAATATATGTATACAGTTTGAAGTTTTTTGTTTAGCATAATAAATGTGGTTATTTTTGTTATACATACTACCTGGCTTTACTGGACTTGTCTTTTTATTTAATTAGGTTTATATATATTTGGTCTAGTTATACTCAATATTTGTTTCTCGGGGAATAACAATATCGCTCATAGTGTGTGAGTGGGGAAATTCTTCAGTGGAGGCAACGCGCTATTAGGGATTAAATCATTTCCATACAGTTCTGCCTGTATAACATCATCGACTGGTAAATAGAGGTTAGCCAAATTCACCATCAACTGATAAATACTCAGGATCCTGTTCATTAAAACCATTTACTGTAGTAACCTTCTCTCTAATATTACACTTCCGGCGCCAGGAAGGGGTTACAAAGAAAATCAGCTAGAGCTGGCTATTCACTTTTGCCCAGTGGCCTAATGGATAAGGCATCAGCCCTTGTCCAAAAATTAAAAAATGGACACAGGTCTTGCACGCTAGATCATGAGATAAGGTTCCAGAGCTTTCCAAAGTCTGCCAGGAAAGGGCTAGACGGTAGCCTGTGAATGTGCAAAATCAATCTAAAAGCATTTCCTCTAGTAGCAAGTATATGTGTAAGCAAGAAAATCAGCTAGAGCTGGCTATTCACTTTTGCCCAGTGGCCTAATGGATGCGGCATCAGCCCTTGTCCAAAATAAGAAAAATGGACACAGGTCTTGCACGTAAATCATGAGATAAGGTTCCAGAGCTTTTCAAAGTCTGCCAGGAAAGGGCTAGAGGGGTAGCTGTGAATGTGCAAAATGAATCTAAAAGCATTTCCTCTTGTTGCTAGCATATGTATAAGCAAAGAAAATCAGCTAGAGCTGGCTATTCACTTTGACCCAGTGGCCAAATGGATAAGGCATCAGCCCTTGTCCAAAATAAGAAAAATGGACACAGGTCTTGCACATAGATCATGAGATAAGGTTCCAGAGCTTTCCAAAGTCTGCCAGGAAAGGGCTAGACGGTAGCTGTGAATGTGCAAAATGAATCTAAAAGCATTTCCTCTCGTCGCTAGCATATGTGTAAGCAAGAAAATCAGCTAGAGCTGGCTATTCACTTTGACCCAGTGGCCAAATGGATAAGGCATCAGCCCTTGTCCAAAATAAGAAAAATGGACACAGGTCTTGCACGTAGATCATGAGATAAGGTTCCAGAGCTTTCCAAGTCTGACAGGGAAGGGCTAGAGGGTAGCTGTGAATCGCAAAATCAATCTTAAAAGCATTTCCTCTCGTTGCTAGCATATGTGTAAGCAAGATGTAGGCACCTCCCAAAGATGTAGTTGAATAAATGGTGTGCTTGCTGCATTTTTTGGGTGGATTCAGTTGAGACTACATTTCCCATGGTCCTGTTTTTTGAATACGTTGCAATTTGTTTCCATTGGAGTAGTTCAAGCCAATGGGTTGCCTTTTTAATTAAACTCCTAGCCAATCAGAGGTCACCTTTGTTGGGGAGGGAAAAGAGAAAAAAAAGGAAAGGAGGGGGAGAGGTTAGCAAGAGGAGAGGGAGAAATACGCGGGAGGAGAGCCGGGGAAAAGAAAAAAAGAGAACCGAGTTTTACCCAGAGGTGATGTTTGTAGACTAAACTTCTATTAAAGTAGTGGCACAAATATCATTTTATTCAGCGGAAAGGAGAGCAACTATCCGTTCGGTAAATTTGTGAACTGTAAGGTGAAGTGCTAGCTTAGCTGGCGTTTGTTTGTTTTGCACTAGCTTGGGAAAAACAAAGCTAAGTACAATTCTGTAACTTCGTGGACGTTAAACTAATGTGTTTGCGTGAGGGACGGACATCTGTAACCGGTACTTGCAGTGTCCGCTGTGAAACTGAAGGACGAGTACTGTGGAGAACTGGCTGAACTGTGCTAGGTAGCATGGTAGCTACTACGCTGTTTAAGGAGGAACTCCCTCCGCTGAACCTACGTCGCTGAATTAACCTCCTGGAACCTTAGCGTTGCCGTGGATTCATTCTCTCAGCTGCGACCACAGTGGCTAATTCTTCTGTTCCAGGGGGCGTGAGTAACAGAGAGGTTTTTGGTAGCGTTCATTAAAGGAACCAAGGAGGATTTTTTTTGTTTGTATGTGCACCAAATCCACGAGGCCCCAACAGAAAAAAAAACAAAGCGGCGGCAGAAGGTTCTGAACAGTTAAAAGGGTTTTAAGTGGTAAATAAACTATTGCCTCCCGGTTCAAATCCCGGATGAGCCCATCTTTTACGCTTCAGATTGAAAATACTACTGAACCCTGAGCCTGTGGCTACTGGGGTGTTTGGAAGGCTGCATAGACACCCAGTCAACACGACTAAGCTTCCCACATCGTGACGCCAACGGTCAAGGACAATGTTGATGCTAGTCTGTTGAGCAGAAAAGACTCTTTATTGATTTCACCCATTCAGGTTTAGCCTACCTTGGTTACTGCCTTGGAATACCAACTCTGGCTATGAAAACTAGCAAACTCAACCACACCAAGCAAGCTTTTGTAACATAGTTAGTCAATTGCTGGCGAGACAATCATGTGATGTGAGCAGTCAAGCTCTGAATAAGGAGCTTGTTGATGCTAATCTGTTTATCATAGGTGCCCCTTTGCCGAGAATGCATCGTCCCAGGATGAATCAATTTCAGCCCCTTGTCCAAAATAGGAAAATGGACACAGGTCTTGCACGTAGATCATGAGATAAGGTTCCAGAGCTTTCCAAAGTCTGCCAGGAAAGGGCTAGAGGGTAGCTGTGAATGTGCAAAATCAATCTAAAAGCATTTCCTCCGTTGAGTATATGTATAAGCAAGAAAATCTGCTTATACATAGACACCAGTCAACACGACTAAGCTTCCTCCATCGCCAAGGGTCAAACGTCAAGCCCTTGTCCAAAATAAGAAAAATGGACACAGGTCTTGCATGTAGATCATGAGATAAGGTTCCAGAGCTTTCCAAAGTCTGCCAGGAAAGGGCTAGATGGTAGCTGTGAATGTGCAAAATCAATCTAAAAGCATTTCCTCTCGTTGCTAGCATATGTGTAAGCAAGAAAATCAGCTAGAGCTGGCTATTCACTTTTGCCCAGTGGCCTAATGGATAAGGCATCAGCCCTTGTCCAAAATAAGAAAAATGGACACAGTTCTTGCACGTAGATCATGAGATAAGGTTCCAGAGCTTTCCAAAGTCTGCCAGGAAAGGGCTAGATGGTAGCTGTGAATGTGCAAAATCAATCTAAAAGCATTTCCTCTAGTAGCTAGTATATGTGTAAGCAAGAAAATCAGCTAGAGCTGGCTATTCACTTTTGCCCAGTGGCCTAATGGATAAGGCATCAGCCCTTGTCCAAAATAAGAAAAATGGACACAGGTCTTGCACATAGATCATGAGATAAGGTTCCAGAGCTTTCCAAAGTCTGCCAGGAAAGGGCTAGACGGTAGCTGTGAATGTGCAAAATGAATCTAAAAGCATTCCTTTCGTCGCTAGCATATGTGTAAGCAAGAAAATCAGCTAGAGCTGGCTATTCACTTTGACCCAGTGGC